GGGGGGGGGGAGGAGGAGAAATGGAAGATAAGGGGGCAGGGGAATTAAAGCACACGTGTGGGTTCTTTACCTGCAAATCATTGCCACAGTCCTGAAGGCCAACCTGGAAGATGACTGTATCAGTGCTTTGGGTGGTTGGCTGGCAGCGTTGGGGTCCCAGGCTCAGAGCAGAGGGTTTCACCAGCTTCCCATTTCTATAGAGATCTCTCTGGACAGTAATCACCATGCCGTCCTCTCCACACTGAACCCCGACAGGCGATCTCCCAACCACCTGCGGCATCTGTCGGGGAATGCCACCAGAATATCTACTAGATAACCCAAACTGAGCCCCACCGCTAGCAGCCCCAAACCCATGCACAGGAAAACCACCACCCCATCTAGAAGACCCCAGGTGAGGTACAGCCTGCTGGTAGCTCCTCCACCAATCTGACTGGCGCTTCTGTCTTGCCAAAACTCTCTCGCCAAAGACCAGCATCAGGAGCAGCACCCAACTCCAACAGCTTCTCACCCTCAGACCCATCCTGATTGCAAGAGGAACAGCACAATGAGGGAGAAAGACAGAGCTGCCTTTTATACCCCCCCCCCAGGCTGAAGCATCACATCCACCTGAACTGCTCTCCCCTACTAATGATTGCTGTGAAAACTTCATGATATATAAATCCAGGCTGAAGCATCACATCCACCTGAACTGCTCTCCCCTACTAATGATTGCTGTGAAAACTTCATGATATATAAATCAACTAAACTGACATAGGAAACCATTGATCTTTGCGTTGCAGTATTTGCAGTAAAACGCAGGTTAGCCCCCATTAGCCCCCATTCTCACCAGCAAGCATGACAACGCTCAACTTGAAGAATCCCATTATTTTACACGGTGCCCATTGCTTGACGCTCGAAAAAGTACTTAAGCTTGTTTCATGGCAAAGCCCCCATAGACTTCAATGGGAGAGCCTGAGACTCGTGCAATTTGCGCTTAACAAACATCTCCTCCTACTACTAACTAGCTTTCCATTGGCTAAAACAAAGTCGCTGAGGCCTATAAAATGTGCAAAAAAGCTTCAAGATTCCTCAAAAGCCGTCACGCCTCAAATAGGAATGGGGGGGGGGGCTTACTGTTGTTATGCGAGTCCCATCGCACTCCTGACCGTAGCTATCCCAAAGTAATGGGTGCAGCAGTGACAAGCAGTTGGCGCTGCGTTTGCAGACAATGAAGATCAGGAAAAGTCACCGGCGCTCCAATAGTGATGCAAGCACGTCTTTTATTGACGCATGTTCGCATGATCACAAAGCAAATAACATTTTGGGGCTGCATAGGGGCCCTTCATCAGGCAAACATTGCTGGGGATTTTTCCTGATGTTCATGGGGGGCTTACTGTGACACGGTATGGGGCAATGTGGCGTTGAATGGCCCTTTAATGCACCATTAGCATATTCCATTCAGAAGCGGTGCTCTTCATTGAAAGAAAGGGGTCCTGTGTGTGTTGTTGCATGTTATGGGGGTCATTTATAGTGCCCCTAGGTGGCGCTGAGGAGTATTTCTATACTCTTTAGGGGCATCTAGGGGCACTATATGTCATGCATATGGGTGAAACTTTTATAGATGAACCCCAAGGAGTTCTGTCAGCCCATTAAAGCCTTCTGTGACGCTACAATGTACCTTGAGGGGTATTTCACTCACCAGGAAGTTACAGAAGCTGCATATAGCCTCCCATAGATGTCAATAGATGTACCTGGCAGTACACGGGTACACGCCGGGCTTTCAAAAACATGCATGCGTATGGGTGCACCACCCCAAACACCATTTGTGTTCAGGGTTGTGCGTCCATACTCATGTGCGTGTTTATGCAACTCCAGCATATACCTGTGTACTGCCGTGTACATCCATTGACTTCTATGGGAGGCTATAGGCAACATCTATAGCTCCCTGGCGGGCAAAATTTCGACAACATTTATGTTGTTCGGTCACAGGCGGCCATGTGCGTGAACCCTTCTGCAGGGCGGTAACTTGCAGTGATGCACTTGCTTTAATGTACCGTGAGTGGGACCTTAGGCCTGAATCAGACCTGTCATGCATTGTAACACACCAGCACACTACAACAACACCACAACATACGGATGACTCGCACATGTGTATTGTGTTGTTAGGGTGCCCTGGCTGGGTGCGTTGTGGTGACACTGTAATCCACCCCGCCATGTATTGTGTGTCACTGTAACACACGGTAAAACACGTGGAGCGAGGAGACCAGGAATAAAAGTCCCGTCTGCTGTCATAGCAACCAGGTTCATGTTTCCAGTGAAAGATTAAAAAAAAGGAATAGTTGCCACGGGCAACAGTCGCCATATCTGCTCTAGGTTACTGGGCTCTACCTCTCAAAAGTTGGCGTGAGTGTAGGATCTGCACTTTTGTTTTGGCCAATGGAAAGCCATATTATCTGTGACATCATATGTCGTCGTCCTTGGATCTGCTTCCTCTGTGTGGTGTTGTCGTGTCTTGTGTCGTGTCTTGGGCCTACCCAGGCCCTCCGCCACTCGCCACCGCAGTTCTCTGTAATGGGCATCACAGGGGTCGTAGAGGTTTTTGTGGGCCCTCACCAGGCCGGTGAAAGTCTCCACATCCAGCGTGGACACTACTGAACCCTCCATTTTATTCACAGGCCTGAGGTTGCTAGGAAGAGATTTCCAGTCGCTAGGCGCAAAAATGCACAAAAACATTTCTGTCCGGCGTTTTCAGGTGCTCGCACTGAAGCCCATGGGGCTGCAACTGTGCGATTCTGACCCCAAAAAGCACTATTGGAGATAATGGGCAGCTTCATGTTGGGCGTTGTCATGGGAAATTGCTCAGGTGTGAATGTGGGCCTACCCATGCGCTGAGGCTCAAAGTGTACATCCAGATTCTTCTTACTTTAGGATTGGGTGAGGAATCGTTAGACCCCTGCTGGGTTTTTACTGCTATCCGGGGCTCTGTTAGAGAGATTTCCCTTCGCTTCCTGTTACACCTGGTTCACACCTGTATGTTTTGTAGCGCGTTTAACGCTCTACGAACGCTCTACAAAATGCTCAAACATGAAAATCCCATTGTTTTCTATGGGTATGGTTCACACCTTGCCGTATTTCAGCCCGTCTGACGCGCTACAAAACGGCCTACGCCTGAAAAGGTACAGGAGCTTCTTTGCGGCGTTTTTGTCGCGCGTTTCCATTGGGATACAGCCAAGTAGCCCTCGGAAACGCGCGTTTGTCACGCGTTTTTTTTAGAGCTAATCGCGGTAAAAACGCGCGTCACGAAACCCGCGACAAACGCGCATATTCAATACGCCTAGGTGTGAACAGAGCCTTAGGCTGACAACATTTTACCAAATAAAATGCTTTTATTTGGTAGTCTCAGGGGAGGCTTGGACCCCGGTCAGACTTTTATTTCTGCCTGTGCTCCTGTTGCAGATTTTCCCTTACTTCCTGTCTGTTGAAACCATTGTCGGCAGGACAGGAAGTGAGGAGAAATCGCCCTAATGGAGCCCTGGATAGCAGTACAAAACCGACAGAAGTTCTAATCCTTCCATCCCTCCCCAAAAAAGTAAAGGCAACAAATGAAAACTTAGGTGTCACTTGATCTTAAGGGCCCGGTCACACCTTTCATTGGTGCATCACCACAACACGCATATCAATGCGCACGATACTGCAACGCATGTTAATGCTCCTTGCATCATTTTGAATGGCACCCCAATGCACTAAGACAAGGCAGCTTCAATATACATATGTTGCAGCACACCAGAGCATATGGTGAGACACTACCCTTGTGTTGTGATGCGATGCGTTGCCAAAATTCGTGCATGTCTGTTATTTGGACATTTGGTGCGTTACGTTCATGTAATCAGGTTGCCTTAAGTCCCTGTTCACACCTGTGTATTCTGAAGCGCTTCGGGTGTCTGGTGACAATGCGCAACACAAGGACTTTCTGTGGGGCCCGTTCACTCCTATTCAATGCTCTTCCGTGCAACTTGGAGAATGGTGCAGATGCTGATTTCAATGCGTTTTTAGCCACATAGACTTCAATAGAGCGCATGAAAAACACATGTAACACACATTTTTGGGCACCAGCATCTTAGCAGTCAATGGCGTTGGGTGGCCCAATGTCATGGGTTGGTAAGACGCTTCTTGCCACACAGCGTCATTGGCTGGTATGACGCTCCTGACCACAGTGTCCTTGGTTGGTAAGACACTCCTGGCCACACAGTGTCCTTGGTTGGTAAGACACTCCTGGCCACACAGCGTCCTTGGTTGGTAAGACACTCCTGGCCACACAGCGTCCTTGGTTGGTAAGACACTCCTGGCCACACACCGTCCTTGGTTGGTAAGACACTCCTGGCCACACAGCGTCCTTGGTTGGTAAGACACTCCTGACCACACAGCGTCCTTGGTTGGTAAGACACTCCTGACCACACAGCGTTCTTGGCTGGTAAGACACTCCTGACCACACAGTGTCCTTGGTTGGCAAGACACTCCTGACCACACAGTGTCCTTGGTTGGTAAGACACTCCTGACCACACAGCGTCCTTGGTCGGTATGACGCTCCTGGCCACACAGCGTTCTTGGTTGCTAAGACGCTCCTAGCCACACAGAGTCATTGGTTGGTAAGACACTCCTGGCCCTACAGCGTCCTTGGTTGGTAAGACACTCCTGGCCACACAGCATCCTTGGTTGGTAAGACACTCCTGACCACACCGCGTCCTTGGCCGGTATGACGCTCCTGGCCACACAGCGTCCTTGGCTGGTAAGACACTCCTGGCCACACAGCGTCCTTGGCTGGTAAGACACTCCTGGCCACACAGCGTCATTGGCTGGTAAGGCGTTCCAAGCAACACAGTGTCATCGTGCCACACAGCGTCCTTGGCTGGTAAGACACTCCTGGCCACACAGCGTCATTGGCTGGTAAGGCGTTCCAAGCAACACAGTGTCATCGGTTGATATGGTGTGCCCGCCTGCATGTGCTCTAGCCACGAATGACACTGTGCACCCCAGCTGCCAGCATCCCAGCAACCAATGACTAAGGGCTTTTTAAATAAAGGTTTCGCACAGCACTAGCGCCCTTAGATGGCCGCACAGACGTGTCATCCAATCACAGATCCATTCACAGGGCTCTGTGAATGAAGACTACAAGCCCTACCTGCCACCGTGGGCATAGGGACAAACAGATCTCAATGCAAGAGTGGGGTGACATCACCAAACTACTAGTCCATTGATGACCTCCTCCATCCCCAGAACGGCAGGTCCTCCATACTGACCTGGGAGGTAATACAGTAGCCTGAGCATTGCACCCGCCATCCACTGTTTGCAGTTGCAATGCTCTGCAGGCTTCAATGCCGACATTTTATGGATGCACATTTCTATTGATGTGAGTGCATTTATTACATTTTTGTGAAATTTTGCAAACATTTACATTTATTTGAAGCTCAGTTGATGAATATGGAAGATGGTACATCCCCATGTCAACACATACATGTGCTGACATGGGATAGGTGTGCTGACATACATGTGCTGACATGGGATAGGTGTGCTGACATACATGTGCTGACATTGGGAAAGCTCCAGGAAACACAAACATTTTCAGAAGTTTTGCAGGGAGGCAGTCCGGTTGGATTCATAATTTGCCCCAGCTGGGGCAGTGTTGTGTTTGGTGGGAGGGGTATAAAGGGCAGTTCCCTCCCATTCACTCCATGCACCATACTCTTTGTGGTCAGGATGGGTCTAGCGGTGAAGATTTGTTTGTTGCTCCTGCCGCTGGTTTGTGGGCCAGTGTTTGGTAGCTCTCTGGTGAGACAGCAGCGCCAGGCTGATTGGTGGAGGCATTACCAGATGCCCGTGCCTGCTCAGGGCTCTTTTAGAGGGGCTAGCAGAGCTATTAGTTCTCGCCCGCTGGTAGGACTTGGCTCTCTCAGAGGTAGTGCCCAGCACAGAAGAGGGCCCAACAACTGGTATAGTGGGGGGCTTCCCAGACAGATGCCACAGCAACAGCCTCTGAGCTCCCCCATCAGCATTCAGTGTACAGAGAACAGCATAGTGGTGAGAGTCAGCAGGGACTTCTATGGAAATGGTATCCTGGTACAACCAGCGGAACTGAGCCTGGGATCCCAGTCCTGTAAACCCAGCCTGCAGAGTAATGACACCACCACCATCATCTTCCTCAATGACCTCCAGGAGTGCGGCAGAACTTTACAGGTGAGTGCAGTAGGCTGCCAGGTCTACATGGGTGTCCTTTTCCCATTTATGCTGGAGCACTATCACAAACTAACATAACATACTCTTCACCTATCTCCAATCTCTGCTACATCTCAGTTTCTGCTGATCTCATGCAGCCCCTTTGCAGCTGCTTCTGGTCTGCATGACCTCTGGTGCTGTCTGCATGGCATTTCTTTAGAGTGGGTTTTTTTTGATGGTGACAACAGTAGGTTATCCCTGTGTGCTGAGCTGACCACTTGTTGGCAAGGTGACGAGACAGGAGAATAATTGGGAGTAGCAACGGAGCATTGTCACCCCCTATAACAGGAAGTGTCTGAACAAGGACCTCTATGGAGATATATATTATAGATCCTGCCATAGAGTATAATTTTTTTTTTTCCTGAAAGCTACAGATTTAGAAAAGACTAAATGACTCGAAGTGCATAACCTCTCAAAGTGGTTTTTGTTTTTGTTTAACTCCAATCTGCTGCCTAAAGATGTATAGGAGTGGTGTAAAGGGGGCTCATGATCAAATACTTGAATGCAATGTTTTCTGCACTGCTCCCCCCCCCTCCCCCACCCCTTCTTACACTGTGCCTCTGAACTTGCAGGTAAAATCAGCCCACATACTGGAAGAGTCAATTCCTTAGCATAGTCCTCTCTTTGCCCTCCCCGGGAGTGTCTAATTACTCTGTGCTGCCCCAGCTCCTTCATACCACCGCCTCACATGCTGCATAATTTTATGTAGCACTCGGGGAAGAAAAGTGTCAATTGAGTGACGGGTCTGGGACTGTGGACATCGCCATGATGGGAGCAGTCTCAGGGGTTTTGTGTCTCTACACAGTGCAGGCTTTTACAGGTCAACATCTAATCTTGTTGGAAAAATTGTTGCCATGACTGTCTGCTGACAGGGTCTCTTTAAAGCTTCACACTTTGTACAAACACTGTTTTTTCATGCGTTACCATATTGTATGCATGGCATCTGCTTAAGATGGCACCCTGACGCATAGTACAGCAGGTGCTGGTGAACCCACAATGCAGCACACCAGAACCCACATCATGCATTGTAATCTACTGCAAGTTAAAGCGTAGGTCCGGTCTTGGTTCCCATTACTCTGCTTTGGCATCCCAATTCACTTGAATGGGAGACCTTTAAAGTGTGAAATGCCGCATGATGATCTGCATGTGGCAATACCGCAACTGAACGTCTGTTTGGAGGGGACTTCAAGGCATTTGCATGTAACTATATCAAATGCTTGTTTCAACTAAATGTACAGCGCTAACTCAATCAATAATATAAGTACAAGTGTGTTAACTAGTGACTGTATCACTGTGATGGAATAGACAATTTATATTTCAAAGTGTTAACTGTTGACTCGCTGTGGTGAAATAGATACTAAATAGCATGTGATAAGTGAAACAAAAAATAAAACACATCTGTCAATCCTCTACAGCAATGGTTCTCAACATATGTAACCTCAGGACCCACATTTGTCCTTTAACATTAAGTGGCGACCCAAGTCGCACTGCAATGGAACGCACGCCATTGTGGTACCGTGCGTTCCGGTGCAGGTGATCCTCAGCTTGGGGTCCAGTGCTGGGCTGCAGTGACAGAGCTCCATACATGCATTGCTTGTACAACTCCCTTGTGCGCCCTGTAGAGGTGCCGGGAGCCAGAATGTGACGTCACTCTGGTCCAGGCATCTCTACAGGTCACGTGAGGGAGATCTAAGCAATGCACATAATGGATGAAGCTCCATAGCTCCAGCCCACCCAACCTCAAGCTGACACTTGGCGCCAGGCAGCATATTCTGAATGGCTGCTCAGCGCAAGAATTGATAGTGCTGCGCTAGGGGGAGGCTGAGGAGCCTCTCGCATAGAAAAGTGGAAGGCACGCGGTGACCCACTGAAAACAGGGTCGCGACCCACATTTGGGTCACGACACACCAGTTGAGAACCAAGGCTCTACAGAGTTAAAATGATTTCAATAAACCGTGACTTGTTATATAAAGTGCCACTCCTTTGTGACATCCTCACTACAATAAGAAACGTGTATGAATTCTACCCTTCACCTTATTACTGTGGGATTGCAATTCAATATATTAGTGCTCAATTATATCATTGTGCAATGAAACACGTGTGAACAAAGTCTCTGTGGCAATAGGCTCCACTTGAAAACAGATGGTTGAGCCTCCCAGTGTTCGGTTATTCAGAATACTTTCCTGGGGTTTGTATTGTTACCAACACATCCCCCTTTCAGAGTGCCTACTCACCCCAATCTTTCGGCTGTAACAAGACGGCCCCAAACGTTTTATCTGATGGGGGTATGTTAGTACGGCGTCTTTAGTGGCTCTCACTTTACCCTCAGTCTGCAGTGTTGGGTGACCGGCTCCAGTTAAGCTCGTATTCCACAAATTCCCCCCTTTTCCCAAAAAGATGTATAACACAAACTAGATTGTAAGCTGTCATGGGCAGGGTTCTCTACCATCTTGTCATGTCTTGAATTGTATGTAATGTCTGTCTTGTATTGTAAAGCGCTGTGCAAACTGATGACACTATATAAATTCTCTATTTCATGGTTTACACATCCTGTAAAAGGCTCAAAACTAGGGATCTCAATGATGACTTGGACATAATTTTGAAGAGAATTTTAACTTTTGCCCTGCAGGTGACCTCAGACTATTTGATCTACTCCAGTGTCCTGACCTACAGCCCATTGGCTAATGGGGTCATCATTCGTTCTAACCCCGCTGCGGTTCCTATCCACTGTATTTATCCAAGGTAAGTCCATCTGAGAATCCGGTAATATATTAAAGGAATCTGAGAGACCTCTTTGAACATGACCTTTTAATAGTGATCCTAGTTGCAAAGAACTCTGCAATCATCTTCCAGGACAGCAACTTGAGAGAGTGGCTTTTCTATCTACATAAAAAAACACAGGTTTTAAACTCCTTCCCACCCCTCCTTGTCCCTCAGTTTAGATTGTTTCTTACCATCCAGGTCATTGACATGTTTGGGGTGGAGTTTTTTTGTTTAACTTAATCTCCGAACTAATTCAAAGTTAAATAAAGTTAGAATACCCTTCAAACATCTGTGCACTCCTAGTTTTTGAGGTGTCTAAACCATATTTGGTCTCATGAGTTTTGGCATTTTGCAGACATGGCAATGTGAGCAGCAAGACCATCAAGCCAACCTGGGCTCCATTCAGCACCACGGTATCCACTCAAGAAAAGTTGTTGTTTTCCTTGACCCTGATGGCTGGTAAGTAGAGACCATCTCCATAGGATGGTGGACGATCTCTGAATAGACTTCTAATCCTCTTATGCTGTGTTTACAGAGGACTGGAGTGGCCCCAGGAGTTCTTCTGTCTTCCAGCTGGGACAAAGCTTAAACATTGAGGCCTCTGTGAACACGGAGAACCACATGAGTCTAATCGTGTTTGTTGACTCTTGTGTGGCCACGACATCTCCTGATCCCAACTCCTCTCCTAACTATGACATAATTGCAGCTAATGGGTATGTTCAGTGAATGTGGGCATCTGTGAGGCTCCCATCTTCAAACTATAACTCAGCCATGTTTTATAGGTGCTTCATGGATGCAATGACCGATGCCACATCTTCAGCCTTCAGGTCTCCGAGGATCCAGCAAGACAAGTTGCAGTTCACCCTTGAAGCTTTCCGCTTCAAGGATGTAGACGTGTCTGTGGTGAGGCTTCTGCTTTCTGCTGTATTGGTACAGGTGGTTCTATAAGAGCTATTACACTTTTTTTTTTTTTGCCCCCTCCAGATCTATATTACTTGCAATTTGAGAGCAGTCCCAGCCTCCCAAGTCCCTGATGCCATGAACAAAGCTTGCTCTTTCAACAGACAACTTGGCAGGTGAGACTTTCTGCGTGTAACGCTATTACCTTGCATGCAATTTTCAAGCTGAATTTTGCAGCCCCAAGATCCGACTGAAGCGTTTTATACCTCCAACTTCTTGGTGCAAAAATGAATTGATGGCAAATTCCAGTCAAAACATCTAGATCTGGATTCTGTGGGGAAGGGATATGACTCCTGCAAGTTGTCTGCTTACACTGCTGTCCCCTTGATGGTGACTGCATTCAAAATGGCACCCAAGTAATGGCTATAAATCTCTTCTAGCTCTTTGGCATATTGGTCAAGGTTGACCAGCTGGAAGTATCTGGTCAGACGGATGCTCATGCATAACTGCACTGTGGCAATGGTTGACTTGAGCCTCACACCAAGCTTTATTTCAGACCCATGTGTTGGAGCCCGCCTATGTCCTAAGCTAAGATATGAGGAAGAATATGCCTAAATTGTGTGAATTGCATCAAATCTTTTCGCAGGCTTCAATAATAAACTGGAAAATGTACTAGCCATTACAGCAACCAGGTCTATCCACGATTGTTGTTGTGGTGCTCTTGCTCACAGGGCTAGTTAATGAATAAACCCAGAACCAGAGGGCTCTTTGACTTGCAGTGTACAGCAGCCCATAGGAACCTGACAACAACTGAATTCTGGCCTCCATGGCATTTGGTCATCAACTACCATAACATGTATTCTACTCTTGGTTAAACCTCTCAAAGGAAAGGATGGACTCTTCTACATGACTTTTACCTGATTGCACCTACTACCCTTTTTCTTTCTCCTGCACAGGGGTGGACAGGCAGCTTGAGCTTTAGAGGACATCAAATATGGTGGTTCTATCAGTTGTAGTGCCCCAAATTCTGTCTCTTATGGCTTTAAAAAATTTGCCATATGTGCTGCTAAAGCAACCCTTACCTTTGCCAACAGCTGCAGAAATGCTGCAAATCTGAGGACAGTACATGATCCTACATCTATGTGCAGAGGTCAGCTTAATCACATGTCACTGCTTTTATGTCAGTAGGGAGGTTAGAGATGGAAATAAGGGCTTGTGTAGCTGTCAGTCAAAACTTGCATATCCAAGTGCTGTCTAGTCTTGGGCGGCATATATTGGTGAAATGAATACATGTGAGCCTGCTGATAGAAGCATATTGAGAGTATCACACTTGCTCAGGTGAAGGAAAGGTAGATTGTGGCCAAACCAGTTGAGTTGGCAGAAAAACCCCAAACTGATCTCTAGTATGAGTCTTAATTTAGTTGGCCAGTTTACAATGGTTTTTCTGGCACTTGAAAGTGCCTATATGTATGAGATGGCAATAGGCTTGTTGGCATTCAAATATTTGATCAGCCAAAATTGTCTGAAGCTACCGAATCGTTATAGAAGTTGAGGTAATGAGTACATCCACATAAGAGAACCCTAAGAGATTGCTGTGCCCCTCTCCTGCATATGCCTAAAAATTTACTCTCTGGGTACAGCTTGTTCAATATGGGGCTGAAGCTGCATCAAAACTTCTGCACATGGATTGTGCCAGGTCAGTCGTCCTATATCTTTAGCTTCCTTTCAGGTACTAAATTAGTTTTTTTTTTTTTTTTTTTTCTCCCCCCTTTGCAGCTGGTCCCCAGTGGAAGGCTCAAGTAACATCTGTCAGTGCTGCTTCGATTACATCTGCGAACGACTCAAACGTCGGGGACCTTTTGTAAGACCCAGAAGCTTTTGGAAGAGACATGTTGGTAAGATATTCAAACTTCAGCTTCAGAGAACACCTCCAGGACTCTTTTGCAGGTTGAAGGTTCACTGGTTTCTTTCCCTCTGGCTGAAATACTGACTGATCAGATGGTAATCTGAGGGCACCTTGGTGTTAAGTTGTTGAGAACATTGGTATGATACTAAACTTTCACGACCCAACCTTACAAAACTGGCGTGGCTCCACATTTGTCAAATGCCCTTAACCTTCATGGCTGGGAAAGGAAAGTACCTTCTCTTTGCTCTCCTTCTCCAAATCATGGGTACATTTATAGCTTGACAAAGTTGGAGCTTATGGGCCTTGGCTTGTATAAAAGCATTTTGTAAGCAGGATTATGCAAAGATTTAATTAGGCTTCACTGAAACCTTTAAAATCAACCGTCATCTCCACTTGGGAAGGTTAAACACTGATCTTAATGTGTGAACAGCTATATTGGGTGCCTTTTTTTTTTTTTTTTTTTTTTTTTTTTTAAATCCCATTTTTTTTTTTTTTTTTATCTGCCAAACCTCTGCAAATCAGAGCTGAAGGCTGCTTTTTATAGGTTCCTTCAACCTTTTGCCCTGTTTAAGATGAGTGCTCGGAGGTTTGCATTGCAATGCTTTCAGAAATTTCAGACACTTGGTTCCTTCCACTGACTCTTTGCATCACTACTGTCCTGTAGTGACAAGGTGCTGTTGGGAGGAACTACCACATGCAGTGGGGAATAAAGCATCTGACAGCTGAAGTGTTGCTTTGTGAAGAGTGAGCAGCAGGACAAATGAGACCTTGTTTTTCAGGTGCTGGCTTAAAATACTCTTGCTTGAAGCCCGTGTGCAAGGCATTAAAGCAGATTTCTTAAATGTTGGTCATCGATAGTTTGTGAATCTAGCAGTTTATACAGGCTTAACAAATTGACACCCCCAAAATCCTTTAATCTGTCTGGGAACTGAATAGTGTGAGACCCAGAAGCTTAACACCCAAGGGGGTGCAACCAACCTTGAATTATTCCCCAATTGCTTCATGGTTCAGTGTTGGTCTAAGAAGAATCTATGAATCTTTTGACTTGCATCAAAGTTTAGAACTTTAACTTGAATCAACTTTTCTTTCTGTAGATCATCATTCAGAGGAACATGGCCAGGCTGTTCTTGGTCCACTACTGGTGACTGAAGCAGTGGATCACCTAGCCCCCAGAACAGGACTCGGTCACATTTCCAAGGGAAATTGAGTCTTGAGCCTCAGAACTGTTGGTGTCTTCTGCCAGTCTGATTGTTGCTGCTGGTGTAACTTGGATTGGAAAATGTCTGCTGAACAGATTCTCAATAAAATGTGATATTAATTCTGGTCATTTGTTGGCGTAAATGTTTATGGTGCACTAGTGGATGGCTTGCTGAATTAAGGTGGACCCTGACATTTCCAAAGGGCCACATATGATGGCTGGTGTACACAATGCTTGAGACTTTAAAAAGCATTTTAAACAATATAACTTGCTACAGCTCGCTGGTCCTTGGCTGTGATGGCTGCTGCATTGGTTTTCTTCCTCTTTACATGCTGACCTGGTCAGCGATGCATTTCTGTCCCGGTTGACAATGCTCACCTACCGACTGTATCTGGTGGAGGAGCAGTGCTGCCACCCTAGGGCATGAAGGGTTAGGGCTATGGAACATCTTTCTTTTTCAAACTATCATGCTGCAGCCTTTCCTGATATTGCTTGAGAGCAGCAGCACAATGCTTAAGCTCCCTGAGCAGCACTGGAGAATGGTGAGGATGTCGGACCACTGAAGATGTGGGCCGCAGCACTGTGTTGCATAGTTCCAGATTTTGTTAAAAACAAGAGCACTTCACAACAACCGCCATGGTTTATGTAGCCTTTTAGTGCATTGCAGTAATTAATGGGTTTAAGGTAAACACTGCAATAACTCCATATGTGAGATCAATGAAAATAGTTTCTAGTAAGGGGTGTCTTGAATGGAGGATGAGGGCTATATGAACACTATTGGGCACGGGAAGTGACCTGCTTTTCTGTCAGATCTAAAAGAGGGACAACTGATGAAAAAGAGGGACAACTGAGGAATATGCTGACCTTAATGTACTAAGGAGTAGAGAATGTTCACCAAGGGGCTGATTTTATGAGTGTGTATAGCTGAGTGAATGAAGTTGGCAGATCATCACTGCCACTAGATGTAGCGGAGGAGCACAGGAAATTCCTGTGCTGGGTGAACACATTTTATACATGGGCCCAAGTGGAACTTTCAATTGACTCGATGAATGGAATGAAAATTCACTTGGGGTATTTGCAGTCACATGCAAGAAAAAACACATGATTTTTTTTTTTGGGGGGCTCACACATGATTATACAATTTAGCATAACCTCATTCTAATTTGCCAAGTGAACATGTTCTACTTCTAGGGGTTGCCAAACTTCAGACCACCTGCTGTTGTGGAGTCAAGTCTCCCAAGGCATTGCAGGAGACACTGATGGCCACAGACTTGAGTCCCAGAGGCACGGACATGATGGGAGTAGTCATTTCACCACAGTTGGAGGGCTGCTGTTTGGCTATTCCTTTTCGCCTTTTAATCAGGATGTTCCCTGAACCCCAGCCTTATTCTAAAGACTTTGTGGTAATTTGCACAGACTTCTGAAATATGGGGCTTTCTGCATTTCGTTACCTGCCAGTCCCTCCATTTAAGGTTAGGTTCACACCTAGGCGATTCAGATGCTGAGCCGCTTTCAACTGCGTGACTGTTTAATTGTAAACCGTGCGGTTTTCAATGCATAGAGATGTCTATGGGACCCATACCATACGACGACCGCCCCAAAATAGCTCCTGCACAGTGCCTACTGTGAGAGACCCTATGGATAAAAGGTATGACACTTTGTTTTAGGATGTGGGCCTGAAGTAGTCCTATGCTAAAATCAAAGAACTGGAGTTGCAGAAGAACCTCCAGTTTTGTGGCTGCAAAAGAAGGCTCCTTGGCCTACCCAACAACTTGTTCAGCAGCTATGTTTCTTGTCCTCTTCCACAAAGTTCCAAAGGCATTTAAGGATGTGACTTGCAGCTTGCTAGGCTTCATATGTGGTGGTTTTTTTTTCTGCCTGACTGGTGAACCTGCAATGATGGCCTCTGTTCATACCTTGCGTTCTATTAAGTCAATGCAATGACCCCCCCCCCCCCTGCCTGCCACTTTGGCTGAGTTGCTGTTGCTCCCACTTTGTTATAATATCAGTAACAGGTGACTGCGGAATATTTAGTAGCAGGGAAATGTCACGGATGGAGTTATTGCACAGGTGACAACCTATCACGGTACCACACTTGTAGTCTCTGAGCTCCTGAGAGCGTCCCATTCTTAATCACAAATGTTTGTAGAAGCGTCTGCATGCCGAGGTGCTTCATTCCAATCACTTCCATGGCCACAGGTGTATAGAACACATTGATCCAATGATTTGGAGGGGTGTCCCAAAACTTTGGGTGATATAGTGTAGGTGTTCCTCCAATCTCCAGGCCCAAAAGCTGTTGATTCAATTTGTGGAAATGTCTGCTTTGTTAACCACCGAATCAATAAAACATTTTTAATATCACTGAATCAAAAGAATATCACTTTTTATAGCTAAAGTTATAATATTATATATCGCAATCCTCTAAAATGCTATCTACAAGGATGTTGAACTTTTCTGCTACCTCCTTACTAGGCCACCAAAACAGGCTGCAATATATACAGTATATAGCACACGTTACAACAGGGGGTAATTGTGGGCATAGTGTTCTGTTTAGTCCTTTTTTTTTTTCTCTATAGGTTGAACTCGATCAACTTGTGTCTTTTTTCAACCTGGCTAACTATGTAACGTTATGAGTTGCACATATTCATATATCTCAATTTAATCTTTATTTTTTTAACATATATGCCAAATGGGAATCAAACTGGTCATATTAAGCAAGTAAATGCGATGGTAGAACATCTGAACTAATGCGATCAGTAAGATGAGCAGGTTAGCTTGTCAATGGTCCATATCTTAATAGATTTCTGGATGGCAGCTCTTATATCCTGATTCCGTAGGCTGTAGACTAAAGGGTTGAACAAAGGAGTCACCAAGGTGTAAAGTAAAGAGAGACTCTTGTTGGCATTAACAGAGTTCTCTTTAGGTGGGAAGATGTAGATTGAAGACAGAGTGCCATAGTACAGGCATACAATAATAAGATGGGAACTGCAGGTGGAAAAGGTCTTCTTTCTACCAGTGGTGGATGGGATCTTAAAGATGGTTTGGAGGATGGAGATGTAGGTGACCACTATGAACATAAACGGAGACAGAAGGACGGGAAAGGAAACCGCGGCTGTGGCCGTTTCCACAATGTACGTATCAGAGCACGAAAGTCTTATGAGTGGAGCAATGTCACAGAAAAAGTGGTTAACTATGTTGAGGCCACAAAATTTTAACTGCTTTAAGAAAATATAAACCACTAAAGAAAGCGCGAAGCCCACCGACCAGCAGGAGAGGACTATCTGAATCTGATGTCCGAAGGTCACGATGATGGTGTAATGTAACGGTTTACATATGGCCACGTACCTATCGAAGGACATGCCAGCCAGTAGTAAACACTGAGTGACAGATGGAACTGCAAGCAGCAGAAACTGAGAAATACATCTGTCAACGGATAGCCTCCCACTGCCAACCAATATCAGCCACAACATGCTCGGCACAATATTACTGGTGAAGAGGATTTCAGACAAGGACAACTGGCTGAGGAAGAAGTACATGGGGGAGTGAAGGCTCTGGTTGGCCACAACTAACATGATGACAAGGACATTGCTGGCCAATGCCATGATGTGGATTATCAGGAAGACGATAAAGAGTGGAATCCTGAGGTTGTGGAGGTCTCCAAAGCCCAGGAGGAGAAATTCTATGACCAAAGTCTGGTTCTTCTCAAACGCTGGAAGCAAAGGGAAAACAGATGTTCAGATGATCAACCGGAACCACAGAAAACTTTGCCTATAGTGAATGTGTCAAAAATAAATTTGAAGCACTACACTTGCAAGCCCTGGTTCGACACCTAGGCGGCACCGTTTTGCGCGTTTGTACGCGCGTTAGCAGCATGCGTTTTTTGAGCATTTATGCAAGTTGTGCTCATTTGTATGCATGGTTCAACGTAGGTACATGAAGACACGTGTTTTGATTGGCAGCTCATAAACCATTGTGGGCAATGGAAGAAAGCGTATAAACGCGCAAAAACGCTCATGAAAATGTGCAACATGCTTCTGCTGCATGTGTTTTTGGCCATTTCCAATGAAATCTATGGGGAGGAAAAGCTCTTTTAACGGCCCAAAGAAGCTCCTGTATCTTTTCAGGCGTCTGGCCTTTTCCTGCTCAGATGTGAACCAGGGCCATTGAAAATCATGGGATTTCTTGTGTTGGGCAGTTAAAAGCGCTTTCAAACTGCTCAAAAATGCCTAGGTGTAAATCAGGGCTTAACCAATACAACCCGCGGCAACTATGTAGTGATCTCATAGACGCAAGAATATGCTGTCATACCAGTAGTACTGCTGAGCATTCAGCCACAATGTGGCTGGTTATAATGTATTGTATTTTAATCATTTTTATACATCTTAATAAAACAATATTGTGCTCGAAGATATCACATCTTTCCATTCTTGCCTTTATGGTAAGACTGTAGAGGAAGCTTCACTCTGCGCACCTGATTATCTACCTGTAAGGCCGATTGGGTAGATGGGGGGGATCCGTACATAGAGGACATTGTACCATACTTTTCCCTGTCTCCATGAAAGAGGTTAGAGAGAAAGTGACAGCTACTCCATCTGTTAAATCATGGTGCTGGAAGGAAGGCTTATCCGAGGGTATATTTAATCGACAGAAATGTCGGTCCAGCTTTTCTGATGTGTAAGGCAACTGATGGAGGTATATAATGGTGACTCAAACCATGGCTGTAATACTGGTATAATAGCAAAAAAAAAAACAATCTGTGTTGGGTAAAGTAAAAGGCTTACATTAATGGTGATCCCACCAGCAGCACATACTCACCCCCCCTGCTCATTTTGGCTATTATAAGGGAGGAAAAGTATTTGGTCCTTTCAGGTGTGGGGGGAGCAAGTGACTCAGTCCCATTATCTCATGCGACAGCACTGGTGCTTTGTGATTGGCTGGTCAGGCACCCAGCGCTGTCATTTGAGGTCAAGGAGAATGGCCTTAGCCCTGTGTAAGCTCTAAGTCAGAGGCACCAGAGTTAGAACCAGTGCACTTAGTAATCAGCACTCATTAACAGACCTGGTCAGACTCTCTTACTCTGTGATATCAGTATGCGTGAGGGCGCTGTGAAGTGAGGGGGGTGATTGCTACTCATCTCTGCCAACTCAGAGCACTGGAGTGGGAGAACAGGAAGGAAGCAGCATTGGCACAGAGACAAAATGGTATTTTAAGGAAATAAAGTGTAATCGTTAGTTAGCACTTATGAACAGACCAGTTCAAACACAATGTAATATCAGTATGTGTGAGGACACTGGGAAATGAGGGGTGTGGCTGCTACTCAGCTCTGCCAACTCAGAGCACTGGAATGGGAAGCAGGACACAAGCAGCACTTTCACTGAGAGGAAAAGTTAGTTTCCTAACAAAAATCAGTCACAAATTATAATAAATAGGGATGGAGGATTATAAGATAAGAGGGCGTGAGACTTTAATTGGGTTTTAAAGCTAATATGGGCTTACAGCTAAAGTGGGGCATACTTTATTAGGATATTGACTACTTTAGCTTTGTCTGAAGGTACAGCGGTACCTCCGTTCACAAACTTAATTCGAATCAAACCGTGATCAGACCGCGATCTGGACCAGAGGAAGCCACGACCAGTGTCAGAGCAGGGAAGATGGCTGAGGTGGTGTTCGTCACCTAATACGGAGTTCGCGAACGGAAGCAAAATTTTGCCAAACTTCCTGTTCGCGAACCGAATTGTTCGCGAACAGAAGCGTTCGTGAACCGAGGTACCACTGTACTTGTAAAAAGTATAATGTTGGTATTGCAGTTCTTAGCAAAGTGTTCTGTTAGATGCTATATGTGGGCACAGTATGGAGGGCCCTGAGAGAATGGGGAACGGCCTTTGAATGTGTTGTCATATACCTGTCTGGTCCCTTTAGTCATCTCCCAAAAAACATGATGTGGGAAAGTGATGTAATAAAAGTCTAAAACTAAACAGATTAACATCCACCAATTATAATTTTCAGAAATTTCATATGAGTCGGATGTTTTCTAGTTCTCGTCATACCTGGCATGATGTTTTTTCAGGAGCGGGCATATTGTTCTATTGCAGACAGAGAAATGTTGACTGTTTTATGTTCTCAGCGCACATCCTCCAGGAATAACCTCCATCCATCCCAGAAGGGGCCTAATGAACGTCTAGGGACCCATTTATAATTTATTTATAAGTTTATCTTTTTTTTATTATAATTGAAGTATTTATTTTCCTGATGTAAATGCTGAAATCCAATTTAATGTTTAAAAAAGACCTCTAGATGATTTACTGAACACAAATGCTGCTCAGAAAACCTTGTTGACGTGCTATAGTCTATTCTATTCACGTTATTTCAAATGTTAACTTATTTGGCTCATTTGGTGTCTTGAAGTCATTTTGAGAAGTGCTTTAAAGTAGAATTAAGCTCTCATTTTTTTTGCATACATCTATTGCTAGCAATCAGTAGATATATGCAAAAAGATAAAAAAGTTTAGAGCTGCAGCTAACGATTATTTTCAAAATCGATTAGTTGGCCGATTATTAAATTCGATTAATCGGATAAAAAATAAAATACATTTTAAAAAATGGCTCCAGTGATGGGACTACTAGTTTGTATTGAGATTGCAATCCATCACAGGAGCAAGCTTGGAGCGGTGGAAGTAAAAAAGAAAAAAAAAGTGTGGTGTACAATATAGTGAAAGGAAAAGTGTAAAATTATACAGCAATGAATGCAGAATGGCACCGGCTATAGAGGACTCCAAAACCCAGCAATAGTACATTATACAGCACAACGCAGAATACCACCAGCTATATAGGAATACAACAAATCCCAGCAATAGTACATTATAGCTGGCAGTATTCTGCATTGCGCTGTATAATGTACTATTGCTGGGTTTTGTAGTCCTCTATAGCTGGTGGTATTCTGCATCGCGCTGTATAATGTACTATTGCTGGGTTTTGTAGTCCTCTATAGCTAGTAGTATTCGGCATTGCACCACTGTATAATGTACTATTGCTGGGATTTGTTGTACTCCTCTATAGCTGGTGGTATTCCGCATTGCTGGTGGTATTCCTTGATTTGTAGTCCTCTATACAGCGCAATGCAGAATACCACCAGCTATATAGGAGTACAACAAATCCCAGCAATACATTATACACACAGTGTACAATGTATTGCTGGGATTTGTATTCCTCTATAGCTGATGGTACATTGCTCTGTATAATATACAGCACAATGTACCATCAGCTATAGAGGAATACAAATCCCAGCAATACATTTTAGAGCACCATGTGTGAGTGGTAGTGCAGGCTTACCTGAGCAGTCTTCCAGCAACTTGTTTCTGAAATGGGGCCTGTCTATCGGCGGCTGTCATCCACCCACACCTGCTCCTCCTTACTTCTTCTCCCCGTGTCCCTGTGCCGATCGTGGATTTGGGCGGGCGGTGAGCGTGAGGTGCGGAGGAGGTGCAGAGCGTGGATGCGGGCAGGTCTGGCAGATGCGAGCGTGAGGTGGGGAGGAGGTGTGGCGTGCAGCGTGTGTGGAGCCATGAACAGGGCCAACCAATCAGAAGCCGATTAGTCGATGATTGGAAAAGTTGACAACTTTTTCAATCATCGATTATAATCGATTATGTCGATTAGTTGTTGCAGCCCTAAAAAAAGTTACCAAAAAGGTAATTACTAGGTGTGCAGCGATCGCGTACGAGTACCGATAATTTGCTTTCGGTACTTGCCAATACCGAGTACTGATACCGGTGCTTCCGGTGGCATGGAGCCGGCTTCCTGGGCAATCAGGAAGCCGGTAGGCGGGTAATAACATGTTGCCCTGCTTCCTGATTGCCAGCTCCATGTTGTTTAGCCTGCTCGATTGTCATTGTCCGGGAAACCGGCTTCCCAGTCAGCATAGAGTTGGCTGCCCAGGCAATCAGGAAGTCGGTAGGCGGGTCATTACTCACCACCCGGCTTTCTGATTGCCCGGGAAGCCAGCTCCATGTTCCCCTATGGCACTGCTGGGCAGAGGAAATCTTCCCCTCACCAGAATTTCTAGTATCAGGGAAGGTATGGGAACATTTGGGCGAGTGCTCATCCAAATACTCGGTATCGGTATCGGTGCATCCCTAGTAATTACTTACCTGCGTCTCCACCGCACGCTCCCGGCCGAAGATCTGAAGATTCTCGGGTGCCCGCAAAGGATGATGGGGCGGGCACATGAGCAGTAGAGATCTATGGATGGGAGAAGAGGAGAGACACAGGGTAAGTTAATGCACGCAGCCAGGATCGCGCATAGACACCGTTGGACACAGAAGATACAGGAGTCAGCGCTGGATCAGAGACCAGAAACAGCGCTGGAGGGACTCCTGAAAACTACTGGAAAGAAGAAGATGATCGGATCAAGAAGCATCATTTAAGGTAAGTCCTTACACCAGCACTGGGGGGGATGTGACTTGAATGTCACTTTAAGAGTGTCACTGGGGAGGACTATAGGTTCTTGCCAGTCACACGGCGCTGTATAACCTCCATCTCCCAGGCCTCCCTACACTCAAAGATTCCAGGAGACCATGGTGCTGGGTAAGCATGTAACCCCGCAAAAAATGTGTTTAGTTTCGGATCCATTCTGATTTTTATTTCTTTCGTTTTTCGGATCCGTCTAAATTTTCGTTTCAAAAACAAATCACATGACCATGCCTGCAATGCAACCAACAGCCAAAAAACCTATCTGATTGGCCAGAGATCAGTTACATGTCCGGATTAGTCTCATTTTGAACGAAATTTGGATCGACCCAAGTTTTTGTTAAACGAGCATTTGGATTGGTTCGCATTCGGACGTGTTAGAATTCGGATGCAAAGCCATTCCAAACTAAATTAAATTTACATGTCTAACGAAAAGATCTAATAACCATACTCATACATTATTCTAAAGGGGATGAGGGTCACGGGTAATGCACAATAAAAAAAGATTTCATATGAAGATATATAATTTCTTTCTGTTTCAGGTGAGTACAACATCCAGCACTGGAAAACAAGAAATGCTAAGTGAACGGTTCCTGGTATATGTACATGTGCATATTATACAGCATAGTATTCAAGTTTGGCAGCATTGTACCAGTAAAGTGAACCTGTTACTTGCCCATTCAGGCCACAGTAACGGGTTATCTTAACAGCGAAGCTCTTTGGTTACTGATAACCTCCCCTTGGTCCCTGTTCACCTGCTGGAGCCATTTATCAGAGCTTTCACTGGGTAAAGGACCATGTCCCTGCTTCTACAGGGCAGTGCTCAGACCTGGCCATTGGCCACTCGTTGACCGCTCCAAGCTTGCTCCCGGGATGGACTACAATCTCAATACAAATTAGTAAACTAAACATGAGATTGTAGTCCATAGTGGGAGTGAGCTTGGAGCGGTGACTACTTGATAACACACACAGGGACCATGGGGAACATAAGTTGCCCCCCTCCAGAAGGAAGGACAGTGTCAGCACCAATTCAGAGATGATTGGAGGATCTACAGCCGAGTAATAC